TTTAGTGATGAATAAAAAAGTCAACACTACCTGTACATTGTTTTAATCATCTACGTTGCTAACTAATATAAGTGTAAATACTTTTTTTGGTCACTAACAAAAAATTCAGTCCTCACTTTAGTCCCTTACAAACAAAAATTAGTGACCTGGTCCCTAAAAAATTCAAAGTGGACAAATTTTAGTCCTTTTGAGTGATTAATATGGGTCTTTTTGAATTTGTGAGGGACCACGATTTTAATTAAATTGACCCACTTTGAATTTCTTAAAAACCTCGAAACTGATTTTTTTTATAAAGGAATAAAGTGGGGACTGTATTTTTTATTAAGGACTTAAAAAGAATATTTACTCCTAATATAAATATTGAACAAGTGACAAATAAGAACTTGCAATAAAGGAAAAAAAAACAAAAATCCCAATATTTATGTCTGCACTTGCGGACATTTGTTACCATCTGCGTCCACCACTAACTCGCATGCATGTACCAACCATTATTCATTAAATCATATTCATGCCTACTTTAAAACCTTTACTTGAATAGTTAATGAGATTAATGTTTCTTATATTGTATGAGATCATTGTATCTTCTACACCCACATAAACTGATAAAAGTGTGTGTGTGAGATCTATATATTTTTTTCTCTTCCTTTTCATCATATTGCCCTGTATGTGCCCCATATACTTTAATCTACGTGTGTAGGAGATCAATACGAGAAACATTAATCTTTAGTTTAATTAAGAATAACTTTTAGGGACAACAATGTGCATGTACTAACAACCCATAAACGGAAATTCCAGGGTTGATGCACAAACTAAAGAAGTCCCGGTATTCATTTGAGCAAGTCCTAGGCATGTGTGAAATGCCAATTGGCACTATGTCTTGCAGAAAAAGTTAATGAAAAAGTGTAGTGAGAATATACTATATGATAAAAAAAAAACATATAATATTATTTTGTAGACAGAGATAACAGAATTTAAACCAGGAGGTGTTAGGTAATATTTTAAAAAAGTTTAGGTACAATAGTTAAAAAGGTTATTAAATATATTTAATTTTACATAAAATATAATTTAGTTTTTACTCAATTAATATTTTTATTCATTATACTTGCAGAAAATATTAAGAAAACGAATGAAATAAAAAAATTTCTTTTCTGAATATTTTTAAATGATAAATAAATTGAAACAGAATTCTTCTTCAAAATGACTTATATTTTAAAATTATTGTAAAATATAAATGACTTAAACCATGTTATTGTTGACATTAATAATACAATTATCTTCATTCATGATTATGTAATCACTATACTAATGGAACATTATTCCCTTATTTATGGTTATAGACTTATATATTGACATTGTTTGTATTGAACATATTTGTTGAATGAGAATCAAAATTCTACCTTAATTGATTTATTGTTTTTTCTCTTCTTTCTCTTCGTGTCTTTTATTTTCTCTGATTTCATTTCATAATATATTTTTTCCTCATCCTTACGAGAAAAACTTCAATACATCCGGAGTACCGAGTCGGTGCTTCCTGTGAACTAAAGTTTTTTCTTACAGGAATGAGGAAGAGAGACAAAATTAGAGAGAAAGAAGAAAAAAAACAAAGACAACCTAGCTTGGAAGGCCACAGAAAAATTTATTATATGCGTGTAAATACATTCACAAGTATTTTAATTGGATTCCTGATCCTCCTCTCAGTCCTCTGTATTCCTATTTTCTTTTGATAAAGTTTTTCGCTTTTTCTACCAACTAAATGAGGACGAGGGACACGTTAAAGTTATTTGAAAAGAAGCCGTCTTTTAACCTTGCAATTATAACGGAACATAACTAATCATTATTTACAGACATATTAGATTGGTTAGTGAAATGAAGAACAAAAAAAAAAGTTGTTAGATCGATGAGGACAAGAAACTAAAGAAAATGTGACTAAAATCAAATGCATCCAACAACCTAGCTTGTTAGGTACAAAGGCATATAACTTTCACAAAATATGGACAACAAAATGTGCTATGTGGAAAGCAAAATTAGTTCAGATACAAGGGAACAACATAAGTTAGACAGAACATAATGTGTAAAAAGTAACTAGAGCCAGCAATAACACAAAATACACACAAAGGAGGGAGAAAACAAGGGGTTGGAAGTGGTGAGCCTCTCTTTTCTCTTTCTTTTATGTGTTTTGACTCTTCCTATGCACTAAACACACACAAAGGAAAGTTGTGAGAAGCCCTTTTCTTTGTCGTCTTATCTTCAAGTGGTCTTCAAGCCCTTTCACATTGAGCAAAAGAAAGGGATGCAACAATGTTAAAGAACTGTAGTTGCTCGAATAGTTCTTTAGTATGATGTGCAACTCAGTGCTCCACTCTAAGAAACAGTTCCTCACTGAGCTTGTCACCAATGTGAGCATCAACAAGGACTCCAGAAACAGTCCTGCAGCTATTGGCTAGAGCCCTGCCTACTTCACTCGCATCGTCTGGTTGGTTCACACAACAAGTGGACTTCCTCCTTTGAATACCTCAAGTTTGTCCATAGCAAATGAACCATCAGCTTCAACCACCTCCTTGAAGTCTTGCAAGCTTGGTGCATAAACTGGAATGTTAAAACTGTCTCGTTTTTCGTGGCTAATTAATCCCCGCAAGGGAAATATTATTCTTACGGAAGATAATGGAAAAATATACTTTTATGTTGTAGGAGAGTGTTTTTATCTCCTACACATACATCGATTCGATTTCTGTATTACTTTTTTATCTTTTTTCTTTTTCTATAAGTGGGTGGGTCTCACACATGATTGCCTCTATAGCATAAGAGAGCTTCTCTCCTATTGCATGAGATTAATAAAGCCCATACACATTCATTGATCTACATGTAGTTTTTTTTTTGTTTTTTTATTTTTTGAAAGTGAGTGGATCTCACCCATGATTGTTTCTATGATAAAAGAAAATTACTCTCCTACAACATGAGATCAATAAAGCTCTTTTATCTCAACACTCTTAATTTATATACCATGTACATATCTATGCATAAAAGGAGACTATATGGAGAATCATAACCATACAAAGATGAAAATAAATATAATCGTTGGATCAGCATAATCGATCTAACAGTGAAATTAATAGGTAGTAACATTGGTAGTAACACTAATTAATTGTTATAATATACTTCCCCTAATTAATTTGCCTACAAAATTTTCTATAATTTATTTCTCTTTTACCCCCACTGTATAAGGGCAGTTACTATGGCACAATTGACTACATCTAAAAACGAAGGGACACTTTCATATTTTTTTATAATTTGGTTTAATTAATTTTGCCAACAAAATTCTAATCTTAACTGCTATCATTTAAGATGAGTCGCCTATAGTGTGTTGTTACCCAAGTTGGGGATTTCGAATCTGCATGCTCTAACTCGAAGGGAGTATTAGAGGAAGAAACACTGTTTTGAAAATATTATGCATTTAATGTATATGTAACTATAGGAATAGAATTAGTTGTCAGCATAATTAGCTAGTATGTTAATATTCTGCATTGAATAAAATTAGTTGTCAGCATAATTATTGGATTAGAATGTATGAAAGACATTTAATAGTTTACATTTGAAAATGAATGGAAACTTTCATATTATTTATATAATTTGGTTTAATTAATTAATTTGCCAACAAAACTTTCTATAATTTATTTCTCTTTCTCACCCACTGCATATTTTTTCTATTATTTTTCTATAATTTGGGATGGAAAACTTATACTATTGCTGACTCATTTAATTTTCGTTTTTCATTTAGTTTTCGTTTGTCATTTATCTTCCATATTTTAATTTAGTTTTCGTTTTCATTTAGTTTTTATTTTTTCCGTTTTCATTTAATTCTCATTAAGGGTATATACTATTATTATTTTTATTAATTTATTATAACTATTGTTATTAATGGTTAAGTATAAAAAGGAATCTGGTTCATAAGGTTTACAGTAGACACGTTACATTTTTTAGCCCAACTTTGAGATGGAAAACTTCTATTATTGTTAACTCATTTAGTTTTCGTTTCATTTAATTTTTGTTCTTCATTTAGCTTTCGTTTGTCATTTAGCTTCCATTTGTCATTTAGTTTTCGTTCTCATTTAGTTTTTGTTTTTCATGTAGTTTTCATTTTTTTCCATTTTCATTTAGTTTCCATTAAGGGTATATACTATTATTATTTTTATTAATTTATTATTACTACTGTTATTAATTGGATAAGTATGAAAAAGAATCTACTTCATAGGATTTAAAGTAGACACCTGACATTTTTATCATGTTGTCGCTTCTCTCTTCTAGTTATAACTACTTATAAAGATTTTGAATAATTAAGTTAAAATATCGTAATTATTGTATAAATTTAAATGTAAATTGTCCACTTTGTGAGGGGGAGCTTTTTGTGAAGCACCCGACACTTCAAAAATCTTGACGTGTCGTGTCCGACACTTCCCGACACTATCTGACACTCCAACAGTACTCATTATAGAAATTCAAAAAAATGTTCAAAGGTTGTATTGCGTTGAGTTTTTAGTTCCAACTATTAGATTCGTTAGATTACGATTACCATTTTATTGAGTTTAATATAAATATTTTAGATATCTTATATTTTTTGCAAAATTGATGAATATTATAAGTTTAGTTTCATTTTTTTGTTAAATTTTTGAATATTAAATATAACATATACTACATAAATTAAAAATATTATTTAATATCAAAACGTGTCTTAACGTATTGAAATCTAACATTTTTTAGAATTAACGTGTCGAAGTGTCGTGTCGTGTCGTGTCACGTGTCTCGTGTCAGTATCGGTGCTACGTAAACTAGAAAACAAAAAAGAATACGCTCTGTCAATTATATTTTGTTTCTTGACAAAATACTTTCCATTCCAATTTTTTTATGAGTTGCTATTCAACCTCTAATCAAGCTATCAATTAATTGCAGATCAAATTATATATATACCTATATCGTAATTAATCAGAACAAAACATAATCGCTCGTTAAACTTTAATCTTGCATACAATCGAAGTTTGTACTTCATCAACTTGAAGAGGACTTAAATAATTGATCACTTCACATTTGGATATTATGTGAAGAATCATGCATTTTTCTAATTTACAATATTAAGAGTGTCATATCTCTGTTGGAACACAAGCAAAATCTTTCCTTTTTCAATGGGCCTCCCTGCAACAATGGGCAAGTGGAAAAGATGACATTGTGTCCAACATGTACCCATTATGATTTTGTGTCCTTGTTAACTATTTCTTCGCTTCAGTTATCCATGGTGTCTTGTACTTCGTGTTCAACTTTTGATGAATTATCATGATCCTTGCAATCAATATTGCCCTCAATACAGGAATGGTGGCTGCTGCTGCTGCAGTTACTTTTATCATTATCTACGGTCGTGGATGTGACAACAACCTCAATTTCTTGATCAATTCCTGGAATTATTTCTAAATGAGTCACCTTTTTCATTTCTTTGCTCTTACCCCACAACACCATGTACAATCCAATCACAATTAGCACCGCTCCAATTACACTAATTAAACATGTTTCAAAAATCAAACCATGAATATTTCAGTTGAACATGATCATAAAAGAATTACAATATCTTTAGGTGCACTGGGATTTGGTGTATATTTACCTTCCTATGTATAGGTTCTCATCCAACATTAAGGGACCAGCAACGGCAACAAGCACAAGCACAAGAGGGTTAAAAACAGAGGCATACAGTGGGCCTCTCATCCTGACACACCATGCAATGACAATAACCATTATTCCAGAGGCCACAATACCCTGTAACAACACCACCAATTCACCTTAGCACATGTCATTTTATTATCAATCATAATTTCAATACCTTACTTCACAAAACCAATGTTTTAATTGCTAATTATGTAATTAACATACCGAAAATGCTGCTGTGAGAAGCCTAATATTCCAACCCAACCTCCATTGGCTCCAATCCTTCTCAACACAAAGGGCAAAAACAGTAGATTGTATTGCCCCCGTTAAGTTCATCAAAGCTGTACTCGAGAGATGGCTTGGGAACTCTTTGCTCATCTTAGCCTGCAGTGTCATATGGTGATTAATGACAAGAGAACCATAAATTCAAAGAAAGTTCATTTATGCAAATAAAATGACCGATTCTAAGTACTTATACTAACCTGAATGATGAGCCATAATGCATAAGAGAAGGAGCTTCCAAGACCAAAAAAAATACCAAGCAATTTACTACCAGAGTCACCATTTTGTGATCCTGTGTGGCCATTTTTATGCAAAAGGTTAATGTGGAAAGTCCAAATGTTAATTTCTACACCTTTGAGAAAGGTCAGCATCATTGTCCCGCCAACTCCTGCTATTGTTCCTAACACCTTAGTCTTGCCTGCTACCGTTTTCAAATTTAATCTTTCGAAACTAAGGAAAAAAACAATGTGAGTTCTCAGTAATCACCTATCTCGCCTGAACATTGAAAAACTTTGTTGAAATGAAAACTTGAAAGCTATATAATAGGTGTGGTGATTGGCGTGAATACATACCCGCAGGTGGCAGCCAAGATAAAAGTGATGGCAGGAATGAGATTATAAACGGCGGAAGCAAATGTTGCTGATATCAATTTCAAGGACTCGTAGTAAAAGTTTTGGAATATAGTTCCCCTGGTATATTTACATGATCATGTGAAAAAATTGTTAAAACCTTTACTTACGGTACAATATATTAGCAACATACATACGTGGCTAAAAAAAACTTTACTTACCCGAATAGGCCACAAAAGAATGACATAAAAACCACCCTCCAAGTCAGCTTTGATCTGTTCTCCCTGTAAAAAATAATAAAGGAAAAACCATTTTAGCCTAGCTAGTTATTAATATTGTATTCAGGTAATATTATAGTGAAAAGTGTAGGAACAAAATGAAGGTGTGGGGATATGGACCTTTCAAAAATAAGAGGAAGTGGAACAGTGCATGCTGCAGCAAAAATGAGACGGTAAGCAGTAACTACTCTAATGCTCATTCCATCGTTTAAGGCAAGCTTGTAGAGCACAGTCGCCGTAGCAATTACAATCTGCACCGCCAACATCAAGAGGGCTGGCTTCAACCCATGCACTACTTTCCTTATATCTCTCATTTTTGTGTAATCTTTTTATATATGTCTATCACAACTTGCTGCTGTAAGATGGTTTGTGATTGAAGAAAATAAAGAACGATATGGAGTTATGGAAGTTGCATCCCAGCGATGGTTTGTTCAGTAATACAAATGTGCAGTGTAGAGTACAGAGATTTCCAAATTCAAAGAAGCGTATGTTTTTTCCAAGTCAGTCAATATGCGATAACGTGTCTTGCAATTAAGTTTTTTTTTTTTTTTTTTTGAATTTTCTCAAAGTATCTCCTGGTTGACAACCGACAACTAATCCATTCAAGGTATAAAGATTAACAAAGTGAGTTTTGCTTTTATCAAAAATTAACTCAGTCAAAATATTTAAAGGATTCAGCCATTTACTAACTGTACTATACTTTATTGGTTTGGAATTAAGGTTAGACCCTCAATGATTATCCTCTCATACCATTTCAGGCTAGAGCCTCAAGAGTCAAGATCAAGTGCGCCAACAAGTCAAACTTTTTGTTTGTTGTGACATTATAGACCTAGCGTTAGGACAACGGCGGAGACTGGACACCGGTAAATTTGTATAAGTTTTTTTAAAAATAGCTTGTTTTTATGATATAGCTTATTTTCATAAAAAGTGTTCTATTTATAAATTTTTATATAATACATTATATATTTCTGAGAGTATATTTTCAAGTGAGTGTATTCTCGGGAGTACGTGACGTATTTTGTAAAACTTTTAAATAAAAAATTTATAAATATAACTTATCCCAATTTGCATATCTTCTTTTTCTAAAAAAAAAAAATACTCCTTTTAAAAAACACAAATAAATTCGTAATTAATATTCACTGTTGGATTTATGAATATGTTAAAAAAATTCATTTTCCATCGGATAACAAATCAATACGACCAGGAAAGAAAATGTCTCTACAATAACATTTGTAGAATACGGCCGCTGACTAGTTGAATACTTTTGTCCATTGTTGTTAGAATTTTGATTTATTACTACGATTTTATGTTTTTATAATTTTTTTTAATCAAAACGATTTTACTAATATTCCAAACGCTTTTACATTTTTACAATTTTTTACGATTTTTTTACATGATAATTTTACGTTTTGTGATTTTTTAATCCCCTTCTAATTTTACTTAAGATGTAGATTTTAATAACATTGCTTGTGCCTACGTTTGGCATTGGCACTCTGAATATGGATACCCAAGATTGAATCACAATTAAGTGTGGTCATTAATTAATTGAATCTTACTTAGATTTTCTCTCATGCATTTCTTTTGGAAGAAGTATGCATGGAAATTTTTTTTTTTTTCTACAATAAATGGTTCCTAACATTTTTGAAAAAAGTAAAGTGGATTATCACGAACTTAGATTAAATGGCACAGGTTTTTTCTAGTTTAATTAATGATCGTTGAATTTAAATTTCTTTTTGGCAAGTTGAAAGGCAACAGTCAAGAACCAAAACAAAGAAAGAAAGAAAACAAAACTAACCAATTCTAGTCAGACAACTGACTTCTAGAGTATTCGACAGGTCTGCAAAAAATAAAAGACAGAGAGACCACGAGGAAGCAACGTGAACTGACTGTAGTCTTCCGCATCCTGATGGGGAAGAGGGTAGTTTGTTAGCCAGTAGTTGCCCTCTCTAAATGTATGGTTGAACTTGCAACACAAATCTTTGTTTAATAGTCATACACTTAAATAATTTAAGTATGAAAATTTTATTGTTCTCATATTAATTTGTGGCTAAAATTGGAGATGAGTCGTACACGGGTGTAAAAATATAAATAATAATAAAAAGAATGGTCCCTGATGCCAGATTTTTATTTAATTTTATTATAAAAAAATATTTTCCTTAAATGTTAGACTTAAAATTCAAAACCTAAGTAAATAAATTAACTAAAGAATAAAGCATGTATATAAAAAAATATATATATATATTAAGAATGATACGAGGGAGCCCAAAACCCTTTGCAAAGGGGTATATCCACCAATAGGCCAAATGACAAACCACAATAAGTGAGTCGACACCATATTTTAACCCAAAACTTTAAGACTGTAAGTTTATGGGTCTTTTGCACTTATATGGTACTCACTTGATTCATGTTTAACTGTTATGAGACTTTAATACTACTCAGGCCAACTTTTGCGGAAGTCTTTTCTACACTACCCATCTGTGAAGGCCTCTTCAAGTGCATCACCATCTCCATATACTCGACCCTAACCAAACCTTTAGCTTTGATACCAAAGTTAAAGAATGGTATAGGGGAGCTCAAAACCCTTTGCAAGGGGTACATCCACTAATGAGCCAAATGAAAAATCACAATAAGTGAGCCGACACCACATTTTAACCCAAAACCTTAAGGCTGTAGGTTTTGTTGGGTCAAGTCGAACCCTCAATTCGATTGCGGAAGCAAAATAGTAAAATGCAAAAGGAGAAAGATGGATCAGAAGAACATAGGCAATTTGTTTAACGTGGAAAAACCTTCTCCAATGTGAAGAAATAAAAATTCACGGAACACTGGTTTAGAATCAAACTTCCTCTATAGAATAATGGGTTACAAGAGTCAAGCTTTCCTAGTCTTTCACTAGAGGTACAATCAAGCTTCACTAAGTATGGTGGTAATATCAAACATCCCTAAAGATATCTCACTTAAACATCTCTTTAGAGATACTCTCAAATAATCAAGCATCACCTATAATGGTGGACTCGTGGTATTCAAACTTCCCTAGAGAGGTCTCACTCAAACTTCTCCCTAGAGTTATTCAGACGGGTTTTTTCTCTCACGGAGGATTTCTTCACCTCACTTTGTTGATCTAATCTCTTCCTCTATTTATAGATGGCTAGGAGGAATATCTTCAATGCTCTAGATTCTTCTTCATTTAATGTGCAAGATCTCAATACAACTCTTCATTCTCCCATGAAGTCATTTCATTTTCCCATGAAGCCTATTCATTCTTCCATGCATTGGAACTTGTATCTAATTAGGGAGAAATAATCCAACAATTCTCCCCATTTTTGACTTAATTAGAAGGGATCTTCATATCAGCTATTTGCAGCAAGTGTAATCAATACTCGCTCCCCCTTAAGCAGAAGTCTCTTCTCCTACTCCCAAAATTAAGTACTTATCGTGTCTCCAACCAAGCTCCTGGTCCCTTGATGAAACTGCTATGATACCACTATTGGATTAAGTCGAACCCTCAAGTCGATTGTGGAAGCAAAAAAGTAAAATACAAGAGGAGAGAGATGGAGAAGAACATAGGCAATTTGTTTAACGTGCGAAAACATTCTCCAATGTGAAGAAATAAAAACTCACGGGACACTAGTCCAGAATCAAACTTCCTCTATAGAATAATGGGTTACAAGAATCAAGCTTCCCTAGTTTTTCACTAGATGTACAATCAAGCTTCACCAAGTATGGTGGTAACATCAAACATCTCTAAAGAGATCTCACTCAAACATCTCTTTAGAGGTACTATCAAATAATCAAGCATCACCTATAATGGTGGTATTCAAACTTCCTTAGAAAGGTCTCACTCAAACTTCTCCCTAGAGTTTGAATGACACTGTGAACTCGGATCAGATTGTACCGAAGAAGAAAGAAGACAAGAGCACCACTACGGTGGTTGCCAACTCGGGTGCCAAAATATTTCACCTCGGTGAAGATAATTATTTGAATGTTGCATATAATGACTACACCTGGATTGTTGACTTTGGTGCTTTTAGGGGGTGTAAATGGGCCTGGCTAGCCCGGCCTATGTTGAGCCTGGCCTTTCTGCAGAAAAGTACACTAAGCTTAGGCTCATAAGAAAGCCTATTTAACAAATAGGCTATAGGCCACCTTTGTCAAGCCTGACCTAAAGCCTTGTAGGCTGGCCTATTTAATTTTTTAAAATAAAATAAAATATTTATTCTAGGTTGCAAAGTACCAACCCTAATTTCTTTTGTGCACTACCGCTTCAAAGTGACTTCTCACTCTCGTCTCTAAGTTTCGTCTTTGCTTGACCCAGTAATTGTATTTCTTTCCTATTTTCCCCATTTCTTTGACTCTAATTCCTCTCTGATATACATTCTAGAGCTGGGGTATTATGTTGACTCTTTTTTGTTTGTCATTTTTTATTTCGTACGAGAAGTATTAGTGCATGCATGAATGGAACTTTCTTTGCTCTATACAATTATTTTCTTTGCTCATTATTTGCAGTGGGAGGCCTACAAGGCCTGTAGGTCATATCGAGATTTCTATTTTTTAAAAATAGGTCAGGCCTGGCCTATAAACAAAAGCCTTTAATAGGCCAACTAGGCTGAATATTTTTTTACATGGGCTTAGGCCAGGAAGGCCAAAGCCCAGCCTAGCCTGGACCATTTACACCCCTAAGTGCTTCCTTCCATGTTACTCCACACAAAGGATTTTTTTCCTCTTACTGAGGTGGTGACTTTAGAGTCGTGAAGATGGGAAATAAAGTGACCAGCAAAATTGTTGGCGTCGGTGATGTGACCATGACCACAGATGTTAGGTGTCGACTTGTGTTGAAAGATGTAAGGCATGTTTCTGACATGCGACTGAATCTAATCTCGGTAGGCAAGCTTGATGATGCCGGGTTAGTGAACTACTTCGGTAGTGGTAGATTGAAGCTGGCCAAGGGAAACTTGGTTGTTGCCCGAGGTAAGCTTGTAGTGTGTGAGGTTTAGAGATATGAAAAAGAATTTGAATACCTCTAGAGAGAAGTTTGAGTGAGGCCTCTTTAGGGAAGTTTGATATTACAACCATTATAGGTGAAGTTTGATTGTACCTCTATTGAACGATTAGGGAAGTTTGATTGTTGTAACCCATTATTCTTGTGGAAGTTTGATTCTGGACTAGTGTCTTGTGGGTTTTTACTTCTTCACATTGGAGAAGATTTTCTCACGTTAAACAAATTTACCGTGTTCTTCTCCATCTCTCTCATCTTGCATTTTACGGTTTCGCTTTCGCAATTGACTTGAGGGTCCAACTTGACCTAACAGGTTTATGGGTATTTTTCACTTATATGGTACTCACTTGATTCATGTTTAACCGTTGTGAGACTTTAATACTACTCAGGCCAACTTCTGCAAAAGTCTTTTCTACACTACCCTTCTAGGAAGGCCTCTTCAAGTGCATCACCATTTCTATATATTCGGCCCCAACCAAACCTTCACTTGATTCA